TTCTCTCTCCTCCCATTGGAGGCTTCATCCTCCCTGGTACCCGGTCCCCATCCATCTCCTCTTCTTCCCCTGACACTTGTCTGTATGCGAGGAGAGAGGAGGGAGGCTGGGAGCGACTTGCACGCTGGAGGAGCTACGAGGAGGTGAGTGCCGGGGCTGAATGGACACTTGTGACTCCGGCGGCCGTTTCCCCCGTAGAGTTTAATGAATTCATACGCCGCGTTGGTGCAAAGGTGCGAACGGCGATGAATTTCTGTCTACTGAGCTTTATGTCAAAATGAACGGCGGTGGCGCCTTGCCGTGCACCTAACGCCCAGAGCGGCGTCCCGATACCCGTGGCAGCCAATCAGAGGTCGGTTTTCACATCCTGACAGCTCTAAACAGAAGCGAGGTGACATCTGATTGGCTGTTATGAGCCGGAGCACCTTCATTACTTCCGGCCAACAAGCCCCTGCGCAGCATTGAGAGGGCGATGCAACAGCTGGGAGCGATGTTGGTCGTAATTCGACGGTGCCGGGGTTGTATGTAGACATGGGACCGCCCTGATGAAGGGTCCCCTGCGTGGCCCCTGAAACGTCGGTTATAATGATTGCAACATGTATGATGATTTGTCCCTGGGGTCCCAGGAGCCCTTGGCAACTTGTGACGCTCAGTCTGTCTTCCCGCCCAGCTCAGTGATGTCACCGGTTGCCAGAAGCTGAGCCGGACCTTCTGGCTGGTGTCCCGCTCAGCTCCCGGCAACCAATGGCATCAGCGAGCCGGGCTGGACGCCAGACAGAGCCGCTGACAACATGGCCGCCAATCCCACTGCGTGTGCTGGAATGGAGCACCTACTGCAGGGCCACCACCCACTGATATTCGAGTGGTCCACATAAAGCCCATCCCCCAAGTGACTGCAGTGCACGTAGAGTTAATGCCAGACACAGCGGTAAGAGAGTCACGTGGTATTGGATGCTGATAACGTGCCATGATCATGTACACGAAGCTCAGAGTAGGGCTGTGTCCGGTCTATGGGCATTCAAACATTTTCTTTGTCTTTAACAAGCAGTAAATGAGCTTTAAAACGAGTCCTCACTGACCTCTGTAGCTGCAGCCACAGTGGAGAAATTCATCCTCAAATTCTCAATAGAAGCAGTTGAAGTCAGGTCTCAGCATTCTGCTCTCCCCTCCTATGTGCGTGCTCTGTGTATTCATTATAGATGAAAAGGCTGGCAGGCTGCTAAGTCACTGCTGGGAGGGGGAAGCTGAGCCACTGAAATAAGAGTGTCCCCCCCCCCTGTCCTTACCAGGGTGCTTCTTCCAGTACAAATGTGTTGCGGCACCGCCTGCAGAGCTGCGTCACCTAATCTTTGTCAAGAATGCTACAAGTCCCAACTGCCACTGCAGCAGATAGGACTTGTAGGGAGCGTGCTGGTAGTCCCTCCTCCCTCGCCATTGTGGTTCAGCAGCAGTTCTGCCCTATCCATAGACCCGCATGGACTTGAGCCTGGGGGAGGAGCTTGCAGGAGTCTGACCACATCTGCTGCCCCCTCCATTGCAACCGCTCCGTGTATACATTGCAGATTAGAAATCTGGGAGGTTGCCAAGTCACTGCTGGGAGGGGGAAGCGGAGCTGGCCATACAGAGTTCAAATTTCAGCAGGATTGAAATCCAACCGGTGCGTGGCCCCCTCGGGACGTGGCCCCCCAGGTCTGACCAAAGCCGACTTTTGCCGAAGGAGTCTGTCCCAAAATCCTCGGCTGAACAACGGCGCGGCCACAGCAGACGTGGATAGAGAGATCACCACTGCCAGCTATTGTTGTCAGCAGCATGTGATCCTGCCGGTGCTGAATACCAAAAAGTGACCAGTCCGGCCGATGAGCCTCCACCCGGCCCCTCCCACAAAAGTCAATTTAAAAAATGTCCAACGGGGTGGAGCCAACAAGACCACACCCACAGCTCCAACTTCATCCAATTCAGTGGCAAGCGGACAAAATTTGAGCTGTGGTTGGCCAACTTCAAGTTTAAGGATGGATTTCTCCCCAGTGGCTGCAGCTACAGAGGTCAGTGAGGACTCGTTTTAAAGCTCATCTACTGCTTGTTAAGAATATGGAAGCGCCGAAGTCCTTCAAAGTCCGGCCACGGTTTTTAAAGGCGCCTATAGAGTCATAAGATCAGCGGCTGGCCAAAATCTCACCAGGGGCAGGCTATACCAGCTGGAGGGTCTGCGGCTCAGCCAGACTGGACGGCACGGCACGGCAGACAATGGGGGTGATACATGAGACAAAGGACACATGGAGAGATCTAGTGGCCAGATTCCCTGTACTTTACTTAAAGGAGAACTATGGGGTCAGGGCTTTTCCCCATAGTTCTCCTTAGGGTAACGGATCATCGGGCACAGGTCAGCTTCTTCACCACGAGTCTTATCGGTCTAATATGTGACTTGTTCTTGAGGCTCTTAGCAACCAATTTGTTTTTTCATATTCCCCTCCCCCGCAGCACACTCTGAGAAGGAAGGGTCACATCTGATTTCATGTTAGATTCGTTATCACGCCTTTCTTCCGGCACATTATTATGTGTATCTGTGTATTCGCATAGTGATTGGTGTATAGCAGGGGTAGGCAAGTTCAGCCCTCCAGCTATGGTGAAGCCACAATTCCCATCATGCCTCTGACTGTGGAAGTCATGCTCGTGGCTGTCAGTCTTGCAGCTCCTCATGGGACTTGTAGTTCTACAACAGCTGGAGTGTGGAGGTTGCCTTCCCCTGGTCTATATTATGCGACTCATACAAACAGCTATGGCTGATTTGCATGAGCTACATAATGCCCTGAATCTATTAGTGTAGCTTTAGGGTCAGGGGCTCCATTGCAATTGTTGGGGCTCTTTGATGTCCCCCCTACTTCGTTTGCCTTCCCCAGATGTACTCACAGAGCTCCCCACTACTGCTGGTCAACAGGGCTTTGCAGTGATACTTCCATTGGATCTCCCATCATGTGACATCACAGAGCCCATGGCCAAACACAAGAAACACACATGGAAGTAGGACTGCACCAGCCATTGACAGTTTCCTTGCATTGGGTCTCCCGTGTTTGGTCATGGGCATCACAGATCCCATGGGTCTCCGTTTTGGGTCATGGACATTACAGACCCATGGTCTCTTGTGTTTGGTCATGGACATCACAGACCTCATGGAGTCTCCCGTGTTTGGTCATGGACATCACAGACCCCATGGTCTCTTGTGTTTGGTCATGGACATCACAGATCCCATGGGTCTCCGTGTTGGGTCATGGACATTACAGACCCCATGGTCTCTTGTGTTTGGTCATGGACATCACAGACCTCATGGAGTCTCCCATGTTTGGTCATGGACATCACAGACCCCATGATCAAGAGCAAGGAACACATAGGAAGTGGGACTGCTACATCCATTGGCAGTTTCCTTGCAGTGATACCTTCCATTGGGTCTCCCGTGTTTGGTCATGGGCATCACAGATCCCATGGGTCTCCCGTGTTTGGTCATGGACATCACAGATCCCATGGGTCTCCCGTGTTTGGTCATGGACATCACAGATCCCATGGGTCTCCCGTGTTTGGTCATGGACATCACAGATCCCATGGGTCTCCCGTTTGGTCATGGACATCACAGATCCCATGGGTCTTTGTGTTTGGTCATGGACATCACAGATCCTATGACCAGGGAACACATAGGGGAATGTAATCATGCCAGCCATTGGCAGTTTCCTTGCAGTGATACTTTCCATTGGGTCTCCTGTGCTTGGTCACGGACATAACAGATCACATGACCAGGAGCAAGGAACACATAGGAAGTGGGACTGCCCCAGCCATTGGCAGTTTCCTTGCAGTGATACTTTCCATTGGGTCTCCTGTTTTTGGTGATGGACTTTACAGATCCCATGACCAGGAGCAAGGACCACACAGGGCAGTGGGACCGCAGCAGCCATCAGCAGTTTCCTTGTTGTGACCGGCACCTGTGCTCTGCAATAACTGTGTGATGCTACAGCAGTACAGGGTGGCTGGCCTTCCCCCATCATGGTTGCCGTTGCCTTGACCCCTGTTCCTGCTCCAGTGGCTGCACGGCTTAATACAGACAGGTGCTCGGCAAACCGTTTACTTTGTTCTGTTTCCTAATGACTCAGCTTCCAATGTCATTTCCTATTGACGCCGCGGCTGTTCTTTCAGCAGCTCCCCGCTTGGCCTTCTACCTTTGAACGGCGTTGAAACATTCGCCAACACAATGCTTTTTATACACGAGCATCAGGTGCGGCGCCAACGCCCAACGTTCTATTTCCACTTCCATAAGCCCTTCTGTGTTTGCCGTCCCTGACTTCATGTACCGCCGCCACCCGTCGGTAATGAGCACGTTGGAGTGGATGTGCAGCGCGGCACATTTGTGAAGGGATGGCGGTGTGGGTGGTGGCGGTGGGTAGGAGGTGTAGGCAGCATCTGGTGTTCTCTGCATAATTAATACCTCGAGGACCCCAGAGCCTAAAACACAGGAACCTGGGCTATTCAGACACATGAGATCACCGCTTCAGCATTCACGCTGGGCTCGTCCAGGGAAATGGGGAGGAGGGCTTGGCTGGGCCATCACAAAGGAGCTGTCTATGGCAGAGAGGGGCCCATGTATTGGACATGTAGCCGGCATGTCAAGCTCCATAGTAACGAACAACCGTCAGACCAACAATTCTAAGATATTGGGGGGGAAAAAATAGATTTGATAGATTTTAGGTATTAGATGGTTTGTCTAGGACGACATCTTCACTATATATAAAGGAATATTAAGTTGCGAATTGTCCGGAAAGTGACAAATGTTTATGGTGATTTTGGGTGTTTTTTCTTTTAACCCCTTGAGGACAAAGGCCTTTTTTCCCCCATTTTTTTTTGTTTACATGTTATAATCCACATTTTAGGCCTAAAAATTACTTAAAACCCCCCCCCAAACATGATATATTTTTGGAAAGCCAACACCCTGTAGAATAAAATGGCGGCAGTTGCAAATTTTTATGTTGCACGACCTTAGTGCAGCTTATTATCAAACCCAAAAATGTAGTGAAAAATGCGCTTAAGTTAAATTTAGTGCCCCAAAGCACTATGTATAACCATTTTGTTTTGCAAAATGTAAAAGATGAGGTGACGACGAGTA